TAATCGCAGGGCATTCAATAAACCCAATTTGTGCCTGGTACATGTACATCTGCCTTCCTCTCAAAATACGATCTTCAAAAGAAACTGAACAAAAAGATCTCCTACTTTGAACACTACCGATGCCACCCCTCACCAGGCATGGTCTTTGAAGAGCCACAGGAGCTTCCAAACATATCCCTTTTCAAAGTCCTATCTTTTTCCTTTATCTCTTTGATGTACCAGACTCTTGCACTGTATAATTAGGAAATTAGGCCACACCAATTTAATTTGTTGGTTCTCTGATTTTTCCGGAAAAAATATGAAGCAACAGGGCGAAAAAATAAAAACAGGTCTAGGCATCCTATTATAGCCCCAAATGGTACAATAGTAGCCATATGAAGTAAACACAAAAGTCTGGGTTAATATTTAAACAATGAATTTTGAACTTTTAATCAAACCACTGTATTGGTAGATGGAAAAACTGTATACGTAACAACTTTTTTTTTTTTTTTAGCTATAGGAAGAAAAGGTCCTCAACTGTTGAGGGCTAAATATGAGCATTTTTGAGTTGATTCAGAACCAGAATCTTTTTTTTTTTTCAAATCAGAAAAAAAATGAAGAGGCGAATCCGAGAACCAACAAATTAAATTGGTGTGGCCTTAAGAATCATGTTGCCTTGGTTACCAAACCTATTTTTGCTGCTGTGTCTCTTTCTTTCTCTTGGAGAAAGGACGGCAGATATTTGACAGTGGAATTAGGTTTCATAGATAGGCTACAACCAATCAGGAAGGACTAATTATATATAATTAAGGGTTGGGTTTCCAGTTCAGAGTTTATAATTGCTAGGTGGACAAAGGGAATGGAAGAAAGCCTACTACTTCAAAGCGGAGAGATGTTTTCAAAACCATCGTGTTTTCAGCACCACGGACAGATATCAAATGACAAAAATCATGATATTTCCTTCTTCTCTAAAAGGCAGCCAATGCAATTTCAGGGACGCAAAACAGAAAAAATTCTGGATGTGGAAATCTGTCTGATATTGTGCTGCCATTTCTTATCACATTTTTGTCATCATTTCCGATGAATAGACCGAAAACATTATGTGAGGCATCTCTTTTTATTTTGGGTACTGCCCATAGAGCTAAAACCAGCCTACAATAGAAAACAAGCAACTGAGTGTATTATGTTAGCAATATTGCATTTTTGCCTTAAAGGAATCAGTATATGGGATAGGTCTGATTCAACTTACTACATTAAAGAATGACCAGAAAATTGAGTATGAAATCTAGTTGTGCCATCCCAAAAATTGCATTGGATGCTTTTAAGGATAAGGATGTAATAAGCAATTATGATGTGTAAATAGTACATAATTTTATTCCTATAATTTCAAGATTCTATGTAGAATGAATAAAGGGAGTGCAGGCAGAAAATTATTGTCCTTATGCAAAAGACTAGTAGACAAAAAGAATTCACAAAAGCCCTCCATTTAAAGTCAGACACCTACAATTCTAACCCATCCATACACACCACTATCTATAGTTTGAACCTGCTTGTATATCAAAAAAAGATATTCCTGAATAGTTTCATCAGGTTGGTAAGTCACTGAATAAAGAGACTCTTTTTACACATTCAAGTTTATTCAGCTGAAGGAATTGCCCTGAGGAAGGTGACAGACGGTTATCGAAACGTCGGCTGAATAAAACCCTTGGTAGTGTAAAAAGAGTCTCTTAGAAGAAGAGACTATTAAAAAAATTCTTGTATGATTCAAAGAATATACTATAGCAAGAAGATGGCTTTTTGCTGACCTAGGATCATGTTTTTTACATCTTAACTATCTAAGGTCACCAAGGAGTGCCCATTTTATCTTCAATGCGTGCGTAAGAGGTCTCGATTTAGAAAGTAAGGTCAAAAGATGAACTTGAAAGCTTTGCACATACTCAATGGGTGCACATACAGTAGTCAGAATGCTTCATATTCAGCATATCAACTACTCGTATTGTACGTCAGATACATATATCTTTTCAAGATCAAGGTTACAGGTGAAGTCTTTCAGGGCATGAAATACATTTATTCCAGGAAGTGCAGCATTTTTCTGTCATTTCAAATTTGTTTGATATATATAACTTTATGTTGAGTGGCCAAGGGGCATGAAAATAAAAAAAAATCATGCAGACAAAAATCGGTGAGTAAAGATATGTAAAGATATGTCATCAAACTAAGCTTGCTCTACCAGCAAAATATGCCCCTCAAAATGCAGGAAAGTGTTTCATAGGGTCAAGATTTCAAAATTTTCTCAGAGAAGCACCTCCAGACATGATGTTATGTGAAACATAATTAAGATGGCAAAAAAAAAAATCAGGCTGTTTAGAACACTCCAGGGAATATACATTTGTACATTGAATCTCAGTAATAATATCACATTAATATGCTGTGCACAGTGTAATGTATTACCAGGTAGTTGCGCGGTGTATGAATACAGTACTCAGTCTTCACTAGAAGTAATACACTTTGACTGCACATGGTACATGAGTATTGCCATTGAATACCATTTATGGCAACTTCAACCTATGGCATTCTAAGAGAGTGGATACAAAAAAAACACTAAGTACTCATCATTTTTCAAACTGCACTCTCACAGACACTACTGTCAGTATATGATATATTCTCTCACATTTTCAAAGAGTGAAAATTGAATACAAGCGACCACTTGGCAAAGCTTCTACGCTTTTAAAAGCACCACTTTCTTCTCGCAGAGTTCAATCAATGTCAGTAACGGTACTTCCGCTATTCAGTTCATGTCTGGGGTTAGTAAAGGGTTTATCGATCACATGAGGGGCATTTTGGATAACAAAGGCTCTGGATGGGGTATAATTAGATCTCTCATTTTGCGCCTGCTTTTGTTCTGACACAGATGGGGAAGAAAATAGGTTTAGTTGTATGATCAATACAGGGGAGCATCTCAAACATTCAAGTTCTGACACAGACGGGGAAGAAAATAGGTTTAGCTGTATGATCAATACAAGGGACCAATTCAAACGTTCAAGTTGATACAGAAGAAGAGATTTGATACAAAAGTCTCATTCTACTAGAGGTTAAACTTGTTTTAGACTTTTTAAAAGCCACTACGCTGTTTTATCAGGCTAATATTATTGGACGCTTTTCTTTGGGTATCCTTGCCTATGTTTTATTAGGCTAGTGGACACGAAATGAAAAAGTCGCGGGTTCAATCCCGGGAATTCCTCGGTAGACATTGTGTCCTAATTTGAGAAAGAGCTAAATTCAAAACTTAAGTGTTAAACTTAAAGTTAAGTGCCTTAATTTTGTCAAGGATACAATTTACTTTTCTCACTCCACCCAGGTGTAAATGGGTACCTGTCTTTGATTGGGGAGGTATTATTCCAAGATGGTGGAAGGAGAGGGATGGGCTCCATCTTCCAATACTATGCCTTAGACACAGTGGATCAACAACCCACTGCCTCTATGGCCTGAAAATAAGCTACAGGACTTCATCTTCACCTTACTCAAAAATATCTATTAGTACTTGGCACCAAGAAAATGAATTGGTCTGGTCTATATAAAGGCAAGGGACATGCAATCAACATCAGGTCTCCCATTTGGCCTGACGTCCTCAACTTGTCTAGCTCTGCTGTATCTCTCAAATGTCAGTTGGGCGTAACTACTATGCCAGAAGGATAATTATGATTGTAAGGCCTAGGAAAAAATGTTGTGTTTCCTGTTTCAGTCCTGAAAAATTAGAGTCGGTAGATAGGGATTATCAATGTTTTTTAAAGACTTTGGCATCTTTTTTTTAGATTTTGGTGACCTCTAGTGAGCGAACTTATACAATACACGGTTTAACAAAGTAAAACTTGCATCAGGACACTTATACTTTCAATGTCAACATTGAAAAACTGACTGTGCAACATTTCATCACTCAGGTGTCAGATCATGGTGCTAGAAAAGGTTGATCAGGTCCAAAAATTTATCCTTTGCAGGGGTCCACCCAAAAAAAGGTTGGCAGTTTTTTCTTTGGTTGGTCAGGAAACAGGAAACACAACATTTTATCCCTAAGCCTAAGTGTCAGCAGCATGAAGAATCTGTCACCACAAATAGAATCTAGAAAGGCGGCACGGCCCATTTCCAACTGGGAGACAACTTAATCATGCGGCCGTATTCCCAGCAGGGGGCGTGCGGGCAATTTCGTGAATCCTCTCTTGGCAGCAGATTGTGGCATCTAGGGGCACGCAATCAGTTTCTGCCGCAGGAGTTTAGAGAAATGCACCCAAATTGCACAGTGTACAGTTATTTTGTACTGTATCTGAATCGTACTTCCATCATTTTCAGTTGATCTTTGCCTCTCAAAGTTTGGACAATAGCCTTGGCAGTTGGGAAATAGCCATGGCAGTAGATACATGTAGTGGCGTCTAGGGGCACGCAATCGGTTTCTGCCACAGGAGCTCAGAGATATGCGACCAAATTGCAGTGTGTGCAGTACTGTAATACTATCTGATCTGTATCTCCATCGTTTTTAGTTGATCTTTGCCTCAGTCTATAAAACTTGAAGGTAGTCTGATAGTCTCAGATGGTTTCAACCAACTCTTAGATGTGGGATATCTGAGGAATACAGCAAATGCTAAGATATACATAACATCGTCAGTGTGGACCTGGTTCAGGTCATTGACCTTACTGGTTTGGAGAAGAAGGGGAAGAAACTGAGCAAAAACAATATATTTTCCTTCAGTAAACATAAAAATCCAGGGCTGGAATGCATGCCTCCAACAAGAAAATTGCTCTGATAATAGTGAAAAATTCATGATATCTTCATGTCGAAATGGTTGAAATAAAGAAAAAAAAATTTACCCGACATCCTGAGCTAAATCCCTCCTGCTATAAAATTGCAACATTATGGTGATACTGATAGACGTCTGGTTCAGGTCATTGACCTTATTGGTTTGGAGAAGAAGAGGAAAAAACTGAAAAAAACAATATATTTTCCTTCAGTAAACATAAAAGATTATTACCTGATATCCTGAGCTCCTCTAACCTCAGTTTGGCTTCTGTGACGGAACATTTCTCCTTGGCCATGACCTCTGTGATGTCAGGAAGCGCGTTTCTCCTGCCTTTCCGACCGCACGCTGAAAAATCTCCCACTGCCTCGTGGGCCACCTCCGCCATCTCACGGCTGTTGGTCATAGATTATCTGTGGAAAAAAAGGGAAAAAATAATTACGATCTACTGCAGTACCATAGAAAAACTGCTACTAGGGGGCCCAAAATCAAAATCTCCCACTGCTTTGTGGGCCACCTCTGCCAATAATTCTCATGACTGTTGGTCATAGATTATCTGAAAAAAGAAGATACTAGTTTGCTGCAGTAGCATAGAAAGCTGCTAGGGGGCCTATAACCAATGCCATCTCACAGCTGTTGGCCATAGATTATCTGCCCGAAAAAAGAAAAAAACTCTGCTGCAGTACCACTGAAAAACTGCTAGGGGGCCGATAATCAAAATTGTGGGTCACGTTTGAATGCCATCTCACAGCTAAGTGAACACACAAGGTTTAATCTTAACTCCCACATGCATGACTTTTATCAATTTTGTACCCTGAGTGTGTAAGAACCATCTATTAGATACTGTTCCAAGAAAAACAATATCCCTTGGATTATGATTGAGATCAATATCCAGCCTACTGGAGTATTACATGTAGTACACTGACAGCAATTTGAATACTTCATTAGGTGGAGTCGGATTTGAGAGATAACTAAAGTTGATACAATACATGGACAGAATGCAGATAAAGACAAATCAAAGATCTCATACATGTACAGTGTAACAGATCTCAATTAATTTCCTTCCCATGCGTTTGACACAATCATAGTTTTAAATTGTTTTTGTTGGATGTTTGCCCAATGTTGCATCAGAATTTTGCCAGTTACAGACGATACCTTTCTGATACAACGTTTCAAAACTATAGAGTCTGATACAATGTGTTTAAAATATGCGAATACGACCTTAAATGAGACGTTCTGCGGAAATGCAACACTTTATGGGTTTCATGCAGGTGCAGTTAGTGCTGTGTACCTAAACCCAAATTTAGGTTGATGCCCAGATTCAAGTCCAGAGGTTTAGGTTCAGTTCCAGACTTGTAAGTCCAGACCTAAACCCATGCATGTAAATATATGTTCTTGACAACCTTGCAATATTGTCTGGGCAAACCTGTAGCCACATAACATGAAGGCTAACATTTGATGATGCCTGATGGCAATGTTTTCTTCATTTTAATTTGCAGCACAGATTTTGCAATATATGTGATATTTGAGGTGGTTTGGAACAAACAGGGGTAAGTGATATGTTTTTTTTTGGTAGTAAGTCCGGAATTGTTCTTGACGTTTAGGTTTTTTGTGGACTTGAACCTAAACATTTTTACAAGTCCGGAACCCATCCAGTGAACCGTTGCACAGCACTAGCTATAGGTGCAGTATGTTCTGCCAAAATCCTACTTCTCAATATATGCAATAAAGAGCAGCAGATGGTACTAATTAAAACCAACTGCCACTGTATTTTATGGGTACAATTATCACATTGATTAGCACTGAGAGTCATTCTCAAAATCATTGAACCATCTAACAAGGGATATTAGCTGCTGAATATTGTTCTAGGAAAAAATGAGCACTGACATTAAACATACCTTTATGCATTTTGCACTCAAAAGTGTTCAACAAGAATCACGACTACAAACTCACAACGTTTTAAAAATAGCCTCTCAGCATGATGTACTTTGATATACTTATACTTAGTCAGATGCACCTGTTGTTATTCCTTTATGCAAATCGCTGAATTTTCCCACTTAAGTTAGTAAGACTTCACATCGAGCCTAAATTCTACTGTTGCACAGGATATCAACTAAAGGATTTATCTACAAATTAAAATAGAGTAAAAAAGCAATACATGTATAGAATAAAATATATATGCGAATGTGTCACAATTTGTAGATGAAAGTCATATAAATATCATATATCTTATGCAAAGTAACATTTTACAATCAGGCAATCGTACAAGTGGAATACATTCAACAAAAAATGAAAATCATGGTTTAACTATTGACACATTTCATAAATCGAATAACCATATCACCTTAAATATGTACACTACGCTACATGCACATCTAGATCATTCAAAATAAGTCAGCATGGTACATTTTACATGCATTATTAATTGACGTTCATACACTGATCTAAATATCATATAACAACAACAAAGACAAAGTACATGTATATCTAACCTTCAGTATGAATAGAAGAAATAGTCCATTCACACAAGAATACCAGTCATGTACAATATGGTTATGTTTGAACTAGCATGATGCATGTATTTGGGAGATGACACAAAAATCAAGAAGGAGGGGTATTTGTTTTTAATAATAATAAATCATAATAAAAATCAAACTTAGATTTGTCTTCAATGCGTATCACCTAAATTTAGATCAACAATTTACAACATTATATGTATTTTGCTGGTTGTCATTTTTCATAGGAGTTTACTAAACAAATAATTTATTTCTCCACTTGAAGACAAACACCCCTTTTTGTGAAATGGACGATTCCCGTATTTCATAGGTAACTCCAGGTCATGGGAAAATAAACACCTTGCAGGGACTGGCAATGAATAAATATCAAGTGGCTTTTTCAATGTTAGGGAGGGTCCCAAAATCTACATGTTTTTCCTAAAGGAAATTATTTCTCAAACAGGCTGAGTGCATGTTGTTACCTTGAAGCTTATGATTTAAGAGTATGGCTCTGGTCACATATTTCAAAAGATGATTGTACTATATATATATCTCAAACTGAATGTATTATTGAGATAGTAAAGCATGGGTCCTACAAAATGCAACTGTCTTGTTATGGAAAGGACTCCCATAGGCCCCATTCCCACTAGGATAGAATTGTCTGGGTCAAGCTGAATTGATTCACTTTGAATTCCTAGTGGGAATGGGGCCTTAGATCAGCGCTAGAAATACCACCTGCATATGCAAGTTAGTGCAGATAAAATCGGAGCTGTGCAGGTATTTCTGATGTCTATCTACGAGGGGTGTTCAAAAAGTTCTCGGCCTCACCTAGAAAATAAAGGTCAAACTCCTATTCTTTGGTATAGCTGTATACTATGACGTCTTACATCACTGCACACAAAAATTCAAATTTTTATATTCATTAATAAGCACGTGACGCCCCATGAAAATGGGGCGGGTGAGGGAAAATCACAAAATGGCCGCAACAGACGCGTGAGCTCTGATCAAGTGTATCGATAAAAAATGATGTCTCCTAAGGACATCCATGAAGACATGGTCAAGACACTTGGTGATGACTCCCCTTCTTATTCAACTATAAAGAAGTGGGTTACTAGCTATAAGCGCGGCAAGGAGAGCACAAAAGATGAACATATGTCAGGATGCCACAAATCAGCACCACGGACAATCCAGTTGAGGCCATCCATCAAATGGTAGTGAATGACAGATTTGAGACTGGCCAACATGTAGCAGGTTCTTTGGCCTGTGTTATGACTCAGTTCACAATGTTTTGTCGAACATCCTGGGGATGAAAAAACTGTCTGCATGGTGGGTGCCTCTAATGTTTTTTGAACATCAGAAGTTAAACAGGCTGGACATTTCAAGGAACGAATTCAGTCCAATCCATGCAATTTCCTCAAAACATTTGTAACCCAAGAAGAGCTGGGTTTACCACTTGCAGCCCGAATAAAAACAGCAGAGCAAACAATGGATGAAGAATTTTTCCCGGCCCCCCAAGAAGTTTTAGAGAGTTTCGTCCGTTGACAGGGTTTTTGCCTCTGTTTTCTGGGACGGTAAGGAAGTAATCATGATTGACTACCTGCGAAGGGGTTAACGCATCAATGGAGAGTACTATTCAACAGAATTGCGACAGTTGAGTACAACAGTCAAAGAGAAAAGGAGAGGAAAGCACCGAGTTGGCGTGATGAAAATGCACCTGTCCTCACAGCACATGGTTCAGTGGCAGCAGCAAACGAATTTGGCTTTGAAGTCTAACCCCACCCTTCCAATTCACCGGAACTAGCACCCTTGGACTTCTACCTGTTTCCTAAACTCAAGTTCCACTTATGTGGTCAACGTTTTGATGGTAATGATGACGTCATCTATGCGGTATAGGCCAATCTGGGGGGTCCAGATGCAACCTTCTTCCACAATGGGAAAATAAAGCTGGAACATCACTGGACCAAGTGCATTGCAGTTAGAGAGGACTATATTAAAAAATAGTGTAAGAAAAATTTTACTGCCCTGACGTTTTCTAGGTGAGGCCGAGAACTTTTTGAACACCCCTCGTATAGTGCCTGCACTGGGCCATGTACTGAGTGTACTGTATGTGGATTTTTATTTGCTGCTTTGACTGTTACTGCATAATATATGGATTACAAAATAACTGATTAACAGCCGGCAATGGTTTCTGAACTACTTTTCAATATGATCCATCCATATCTATCTATATCTATATTGGTACACCCAGCTGTATAACTGCCCTTCAGCGTAACACACCATACTTTCTAAATTTTGGTGTGGGTAATTTTCAATATTACCTGACAGGTATTCCTGCAGGTATGCAGAAAGAAATTAATTGTTATATGCTTGTAGTGATACAATGACCTACAACGAATGTGGCTATGCCATTACTGAAGTTGTGATGGTGCAGGACTCATAACTCTTCCAACACAGCACCAGCCACTTCATTACATATATGTATATCCATCAGCTCCCAGATAAAGCCAGTACTTTGTCTGCCATAAATTATACCCAGTAAAACTAGCCACCAGCCTGTTGCAGACTATAAATCCTGAGAAAATGAGCCGAGGTAATCTCAGCTGCCGAGGTGGACCGTCTGGCTAGTTAATTAAAGTCTGCTGAGCAGTGTTATGGCCAGTCTTAAGTTCTTTTGACATAAAATCACGTCGAGCGTCAAATGCCGGAGACATAAATTCCTGGTGGTCCAGGCCTAGGGGAACACTCGAGTGCCCAGGAAAATTTTGAAATCTTGACCCTCTGAAACACTATTTCCTGCTTTTGAGGGGCAAATTTTGCTGGTACATTAAGCTTAGTTTAATGACATCTCTTTCCATATCTTACATGCCCATTTTTCGCTATCAAAGATGACACATTGGACAAAATGATTGGCAAAATTCAAATGATTGAAAGACAGATACTGCCTAGAATACTGGTACAGAGACTGACTTGGAGTAAGTCATGTATATCAGTTTGCTATTTGAGCAAATACACGAAAAGTATGCCTAAAGCACCCTCTGTTAATCATAATGTATGCTTCTCACAATACTTTTGTGCATTTAGACCCCTCCGGTGGGCTAAAGGTTAACTATACATGTTGTAGGGTCATCAGATACCTAACACAGTGCAAGACTTTTAATTAAGTTTGATTAACGCTGACCTTATAACAAGCCCTGGCCTAGAAACTGAATAATCAGGACGTGCTGTACTTAGTAAGTAGGACATGTCCTTGGTGCTGAATTAAATGTGACTGGAAACACATGGAAAATCACTTCACACATTTCTCAAAACACTTTATACCTTACTTAAAACATAACCCTTCACAGTGTGCCCACCTCTCTAAAATACATTACTGTTACAGTGTTCACACCATAATCCAATAGGCTCATAATACATAGCTTGTCACTTGCAGCGTCTGTTTCAAATACAAGTTCTACAACTTATAGAATATGATTCAGCAAACAAAGTACACCATGAGTCTGTGCTTTTAGTGTACAATTTTGTGTTTAAAAGGCAACAGCAATTTCAAGAAAAACTTGGCCCATTGCCTGTGGTAGAATCCAACACTGAATACACTTTCGCAAACCTTTCAAATCTGAGATCTTTGTCACTGGTTGATGGATAGAGCCAATCTTTTTCTGAGAGGTTCCATTTTTGTTTCAGCTTACATCAGGTAGGTGGAATCTGACTCTAAAAACAGTGTCATTAAAATCTGGTGTGTTACGCTGAGGGGCGGTTATACCGGCTATACAGATACAGAAATCAGAGACCGTAGTTGGCAGCCACTGACAGCCATTGTAATCTTTTTTCTAAGGGGTTCAATTTTTGTTTCAGCTTATACCCAGTAGATGGAATCTGACTCTAAAAACAGTGGAATTCACAAATCTTTCAAACCTGGTGTGTTACACTGATGGGCGGTTATACCAGCTATACAGAAATCACAGACCGTAGTTGGCAACCACTGACAGCTAGTGTAATCTTTCTTTCTGAGGGGTTCAATTTTTGTTTCAGCTTACATCAGGTAGGTGGAATCTGACTCTAAAAACAGTGGAATTCACAAATCTTTCAAACCTAGTGTGTTACACTGATGGGCGGTTATACCAGCTATACAGAAATCAGAGACCGTAGTTGGCAGCCACTGACAGCTAGTGTAATCTTTTTTCTGAGGGGTTCAATTTTTGTTTCAGCTTTTATCAGATAGGTTGAATCTGACTCTAAAAACAGTGGAATTCACAAATCTTTCACACATGTGTGCTACAACAAGGGGAGGTTATATCTGCTATACAGATACAGAAATCACAGACCGTAGTTGGCAGCCACTGACAGCTAGTGTAATCTTTCTTTCTGAGGGGTTCCATTTTTGTTTCAGCTTATACCCAGTAGATGAAATCTGACTCTAAAAACAGTGGAATTCACAAATCTTTCACACATGTGTGCTACAACAAGGGGAGGTTATATCTGCTATACGGGTACAGAAATCAGAGACTGTAGTTGGCAACCATTGACAGCTAGTGTAATCTTTCTTTCTGAGGCGTTCCATTTTTGTTTCAGCTTATATCATGTTGGTTGAATCTGAATCTAAAAACAGTGTCATGCACAAACCTTTCAAATCTGGTGTGTTACACTGACGGGTGGTTATAACGTATATACAGATACAGAAATCACAGACCGTACTTGGCAGCCACTGACAGCTAGTGTAATCTTTTTTCTGAGGGGTTCAATTTTTGTTTCAGCTTACACCCAGTAGATGGAATCTAACTCTAAAAACAGTGGAATTCACAAATCTTTCAAACCTGGTGCGTTACACTGATGGGCGGTTATACCAGCTATACAGAAATCAGAGACCGTAGTTGGCAGCCACTGACAGCTAGTGTAATCTTTCTTTCTGAGGCGTTTCATTTTAGTTTCAGCTTATATGGCCACCTAGGTGCGACTGTTAAGGTGCTGATGGCTCCCCTTGGGGATTTTGAGCGGCATTCTCCAAAAATACGCCGAGTAAATGGCACTCTTTGAAGACCTTAGCGTGAAAATGTGCCAATTATAGTTATCACCGGGCCTG